ACAGACAGGAGCGCAGACAGGGCGCAGACAGGGGCGCAGACAGGAGCGCAGACAGGAGCGCAGACAGGAGCGCAGACAGGAGCGCAGACAGGGGCGCAGACAGGAGCGCAGACAGGAGCGCAGACAGGGGCACAGACAGGAGCGCAGACAGGGGCGCAGACAGGGCACAGACAGGAGCGCACACAGGAGCGCAGACAGGGGCACAGACAGGAGCGCAGACAGGAGCGCAGACAGGGGCGCAGACAGGAGCGCAGACAGCAGCAGGGGCGCAGACAGGGGGCGCAGACAGGGGCACAGACAGGAGCGCAGACAGGGGCAGCACAGACAGGAGCGCAGACAGGAGCGCAGACAGGGGCGCAGACAGGGCACAGACAGGAGCGCAGACAGGGCGCAGACAGGGGCACAGACAGGAGCGCAGACAGGAGCACAGACAGGGGCGCAGACAGGGGCGCAGACAGGAGCGCAGACAGGGGCGCAGACAGGGGCGCAGACAGGGGCACAGACAGGAGCGCAGACAGGAGCACAGACAGGGGCGCAGACAGGGGCAGACAGGAGCGCAGAGGGCGCAGACAGGAGCGCAGACAGGGGGCGCAGACAGGGCACAGACAGGAGCGCAGACAGGGGCGCAGACAGGAGCACAGACAGGCGCAGGCAGGGGGCAGACAGGAGCACAGACAGGGCGCAGACAGGGCGCAGACAGGAGCGCAGACAGGAGCGCAGACAGGAGCGCACACAGGGCAGACAGGGGCGCAGACAGGGGCGCAGACAGGAGCGCAGACAGGGCGCAGACAGGGGCGCAGACAGGAGCACTTTATTGTAGATATCGCAGCAGTTAGAGAGTTAGAGTGGACGGTGTGGCATGGTGGGGGCAGGTGTATGGGTGTGCGTGGTCTAAAACAAGAAGATACAAAAACAAGATGAGAATTTCAATATAAAAGTAAATAATAAATATAAAAGTATGAAAATAGTTGACATAATAAAATAAAGTCTCTGCCTGTTCATTGGGCGACTGCTCATATAAACAAACACAGGGATAATGACACTGTACGGTGGACTGTGGCGCCCTCTGTGCTTCATTGGTGGAACTGCACGGCACAGACCCCAGGCTTAAATACACTCAGAACAGTGAGGACGCGACGGACACGCGACGACGCGGACACGCGACGGGACACGCGACGGACACGCGACGGACACGCGGCGGACACGCGGCGGACACGCGACGGACACGCGACGGAGACTCGACGGACACGCGCGGACACGCGACGGAGACTCGACGGACCAAGCAGCGAGACGATCCGAGTGGACTTCGCTCCCAAATGGCCCACGTAAAAGGATGTAAAGTAAAACAGTAATAATATTCTAGGCCGGGGTCAGTAACAGGTGGACCGGGGTCTGAGTCCAGACCCAGACCCAGACACCATCCCACACAGACCCACACCTACAGTTCACACTTTATTAAATCACTTTTCATTTTCACTGCTGATTCTATTTAACCCTTGTGCTATCCTTCAGATCAGTCCAGTATATTGTAATAATAATGATATTATTATTTAATACTACTACTACTACTACTACTACTACTACTACTACTACTAATAATAATAATAATAATAATAATAATAATAATAATACATGGGCTAAACCAGGACTAAACTATGACTAAACATGGACTAAACATGGGCTAAACATGGGGAAAACTAGGAGCTCAGGGACCGGCCTCCTGCTGGTGCCCAGAGTAAGAACTACACATGGGCTAAACTTTTGCTATTACTTTTTATTTATTTTGTATCTACTTGACTATATTTGCTGTAATAAAATTGGGTAAAAGGTTTATCGAGGAGATTGATGAAAGCAGTGTGATCAAACCATTCAAATGTTGTTGTTATAACTTCTTTCCCTAATTTAGGAGTTCACTTTAATTTTTACTACACCAAAACCGTAATTTCATAAAGAAAAACAACAACAACAACAACAACAACAAAACAGTGAATAATCAGCGTATGATCCTGCCTGGTCAACTCAGTGTTTGTCCTGTAGGTGGCAGTAATGCGCCTTATCTACGCATGTCCACTTTTAAGGCTACTTCCTATGAATTTTACAGCTAAAACAAAATGCTCCGTTTGTTTGTATTAAATTAAATTAAATTAAAACATTTAAGCATTGAACAGAAAATAGAAGTTAGGCTGTATCCCGCTGGTTTACGCTGCGTCTTTGGCGATAAACAGCGTCTGAACACAACCGCGATCGCAATGAGGTGACGTTTCCTTTCTAGAGACACGTAAAACATAAAAAAAATTAAAAAAAAATAGCGATATGCATTCGTAAACGTGATTTCAAAATATTCGTAGTACTTTAATCAAATACTGAGTCACGCTTTACGGTTTAGCGCTTAAATATATACTTGTGTTTGTGTATTCGCAACGTGTCAGGATGGCCGAGTGGTCTAAGGCGCCAGACTCAAGGATAATCTCCTTCCTTCCGTAGAAACGGGACTTCTGGTCTCCGACTGGAGGCGTGGGTTCGAATCCCACTTCTGACACATACCTTTTCTTGACTTCAGACACATAAATCTAATACTGTCTTTTGATTTACGATGTAATAATTTGTACATATATATTTAAAACCTGACTCGCCCGTAGTGACCAGGGACCCTCGGCATCTCGCGCGTGCGTGCGAGACGCGGGCCGATCATTGCCGCTTGCGGCTATATTTATTATTATTTTTATTATTATTATTATTATTATTATTATTATTATTATTATTATTATTATTATTATTATTATGCATAATAATGATCAAAAGTGCATATTGTTGGTACTGCAAAACTTACAAGTTGTAAAATTATTCATATATATATATATTTATTTATTTATTATTATTTTTTTTTTATTACACTTTGTTACACATACAAAAGGTTAAAAACAAAGAAAATCATTTATTGGAGATTGAATTACAACACATCTAAATAATAATATGCACATGAAATGACACAATGTCACAACAAGAAAAAAGAAGAAGAAGAAGAAGAAGAGGCAATAGGAGCTCTGGGCAAGTCCTGCCAAGTGCTGCAACATGAGCACAGACGTCACAAGACGTCAGAGGCTTTTCTTTCACTCTATTTTATCAGGGTTGTTGTTGTTGTTGTCATTGTCATTGTCATTGTCATTGTCATTGTCGTCGTCGTCGTCGTGGCCAAGGTGACAGGATGACATTTCTTCATACACAGGTTTAGAGTATGGAGATATTTGGGCATTTGGAAGTGATACATGTTTTATATTCAAAAGACTTTGAAATGATTACATTGTACTTTACCAGGAAATATCTAAAAGGAGAATTCACAAATGGTTAACCTGATTTACAGTGACAACTAGACCTAGTATCTCACTATATTACAACAAAAAAACGGCATTTTAATAATTTTACTTCTAGCTGCCCCATCTGTATTATGGCTTGTGAAAACAGGAAATGAGTATTTGTCCAATATTCAGACTAGGAAACATGGAATTATTTGAAAACTGTATTTTTTCTTTCAACAAAAATGGAAAATATAGGAAAAGTAAAAGGAGTTTATAATACCAATATGTAGATCTACTCATGGGGTAAATAAGGTAGAACATTCAGGGTGTTGAACTTGAATAATATCATATATAATATCCAAATAAAAGCTATGGGTTAGGGTTAATTTACTGGAAATTAGAATTAGGACTTTATTTTTAAACAAATACATTTAAACACATATAACCACCGAAACAAGACTAATATAATACTTTTTTTGAAGAATCCGATGATGGAAATGAAGAGTGGAGTCAGGACGCAAAGAACCACGAGGAGGAGCAGAGAATCTTAAATAGAGTCACAATTTACACAGAAACAGTCAGCTTCCTGCTGCAGAACTCTGCTGTACAGGTAAAGACTTCAACAGAACAGTAAGGGTCAACTATTTATACAAAAGGCATGTGCATTCTTAACTAGCATCGGTGATATATATATTCTATTTTAGCAAAAGAGCTTTTCATATTGAGAATGATCAACTGTGGCTTGCTCTGACATGACATCGTATTCTGAAATAACATTGTATTCTGAAATGACATCACGTTCTCATATAATATCACATTCCCAAATGACAGTAGCTCTAAAAGCACCTAAGAAAACATTAGGATTTCAGTATATCATCAGATCTAAACCTTCTTTAAAACAGGACAATTTCAGGCTTAAATTGGTGCTAAATTAGGTGTAAAATTGGACCATAACATTGCTGCAACACTACATAAATTACCCAAAGGAGGACCAAAATATAGCTTACTCTAAATTAAACTTAACTGTATAAAACGGCACTTACCATCAAAAGAACCTTGCATACCACCAGTGGTACCATAGTTTGAGAAACATATGACATATGTGATATGACATCACATTCTTTACAGTGCGACCCCACGGCACTTTGGGGATCGCAATGGGCCTTTTCCCTTAAATATATGAGAACTACCCTCTTCTGATAATTGTGTATATGTGTGTAACTTTTTAGTGTGTCTATTTGTAGATGGCAGAGCGTGCATTGGCCCTGGAGCTGCTGTCTTCAGATGGAGGTCGTTCTGTGCGTTACCTCCTTCACCTGGCCCGTCTCCAACTGCTCAGGAAGAACTACAGCAGTGCCTTAGTCAGCCTGGAGGAGGCGCTGAACCACGACAATGAGGTCAGCTTCAGCATGTTCTATTACACAATAATGATTAGAGACAATTTACAAGAAATCCTCTTATTTCTTTTTGTTGTGCAAAGTAGCCTGTCACAATATCAACACATTGTTCAAAAAGTGAAGATGAACAATATATTTGAGCATACTATTTATTGCGTACCTTTTATTTGCATTAGAGGAGACCTTTACTTTTTTTCATAAACTAGCATTTGAAGTGAAGTACTTGTCTATTTTATGTATTGCATCATGTTTTATTTATGGAATAGTTTATTAAGAAAAGGGTTAGTCAGGATTATCCTACTTTAAGATGATTGTATCAGTGACATAAAGTAGTTTTTTCAATATTATAATTTATTGGGGCGGCAGTAGCTCAGTTGGTAGAGCATTCGCCCACTGATCTGAAGGTTGGCTGTTTGAATCCAGCTCTCGACATAAACATCACAGGTTGGCTGGAGTGATTCCAGCTCCCACAGATGAATGCTGCCATTGTGTCCTTGGGCAAGACACTTAACCCACCTTGCCCACAGTGTCTGCATACACTGTGTGTGAATGGGTGAGTGGTTCCTTGTTGTAAAGCGCTTTGAGTGCCTTGAAGGTGGAAAAGCACTATAGAAAAATGTGACCATTTACCATTTACCATTGGTGTTTTAAGGTTTTACTCCCAGATAGGGTGACATAATGATCATGATTCAACCAAAAGTTAAATTCATAATTGATCCTTTTGCATTAGTGACTAGTCCCTAAAACTTTCTGTATTTCATCAAAAAATTTGCATTTGAAGAATATTAATCTGTAATTCCCCATCTGTTTTTAAATATAAATGTTATGGTAACAGACCCTAGTGTAAAACTGACTGGTTTCTCCTCTGCTTCTCTGACAGAATGCTGAGGCCTGGGCTCTGAAGGGCCACTGTCTCTTCCTGCAGGGCTCCCTCAGCTCTGCTAAGGACAGTTATGAGTGTAGTCTGAGCTTCCAGCCGCCTCCACAGAACCCTCACCTGGTGCTGCTCAGGCTGGGGGACATCTGCCAGCAGGAGGGACAGGTCAGCTCTTAGACACCCACATACACACGACTAGTACTTAGAATGTGTCAATTTGTGAAAATTCCGTCAAATAATTAAGCTTTAGTTGCAGATATGTGATGCAAATTTAATTGAGCACATTCACATCACATTCCAAAAGACATCACATTCTGAAATAACATCACATTCTGATATAGCATGATCTTCTGATCAGAGTTAGACAAAATAAAACACACAAAAAACATAATTTAACACAAAAATAACAGTTTGTATTTGTATTGTGTCCTCAGTTTGAACAAGCCAAACTGGTCCATCTGCAAGCCTGTGAGCAGTCCCCATCCTGCCTCACCTGGCTTGGGCTGGGAGCTGCCTGTTACCGGGTAAAAACAAATTACACTGTTATTATTAGTACTTATTTACACGTTTTCCCTAAATTTAATCACTGTACCCCTAACACTGGAAGACCAATAAGAGTTCCTTCTATATTCCCATATTTTTTCATTTTTATTGCGCAATGTACTTTTCTAAATGGTTGTATTACTGTGTGAAAGTTGGAGGAGCTGAGCCTGGCTGAAGCTGCCCTGACTGAAGCCAACCACCTGAACAACCAGAATGCACAAGTGTGGGCCTACCTCTCCTTCATCGCTCTCAAGGTGAGCTAAGGCTTTATACAAGAAAACAATAGTGCAAATGTACAGTTATTGTGAATGGAGCAGTGATAGCCTGTTTAGATCAGATTTGGTGTCTCTAAAGATTCTTCAGATTCTTTGTAATGATTCGGAAGTAAGATTTTCCTGAAGTCCACGACCATCTCCACTGTCTTATCGCAAGCCTTCTTAGAAAGTAGGTCATATACACGTGGTGTCCAGGAGAGGGAGCGGGCCACTATGGCCGTTACAACTAAAGACATTGTTAGTCACTAAACACAAGCTCTGTGTATCAGGCAATCAACTAAAAGAGGACCTGGCATGGTGCTGGAAAAAGATCCAAAAATCATTAGGATCTTGTAAACAACATCTTGGAAAGGGAAAAATCTGATTAATCTGCCCAGTCACTCCAAAACTCCAGATAGCTCTACTTTCTTCTACTTTACTTTCTGCTGTTGTGCCTTTATAATCTCAGTAAAATAACAAATAAAAAAGACACCATCGACTAAATGACTCCAGCCTGTGTGTGGAACTGGGATGAAGAGACTGAAAACAAAGATGTCAGAAGAAAAAGAACACAGTCTATCAGTGGCTGTGTTTAAGATGATTGAAATGACATGTAAAATGACAAATAGACACATTTCTTTCTCATTGTTGTCCCCCTGAATCAGATCATTATTAGATTTTCGTGAGCATGTGAAAATAGATGATAAACTTGCTTTGATTATGATTGCTGTCTATTTATTGCACGTGTTATGAAGGGCACTTTGGTCATCTATAACGTTTATAAAGCACCTTATAAATAAAGTATGTCTTGGTTTGAGGGAAAGGTTATACCCTCCAAAACTGAATGTTTGACAGATGCGCATAAACTACTTTCTGTTGTCCTCTGTTTCAGTCTGGCAGGATTAAAGAAGCAGAGCAGTTTTATAAATACGCAGTGAAGGTGAGTCTGAAAACTATCATCCACATAGCTCATTACGATACCTGTTATATTCACAGTATTCATGTCGTGTTGCAGTTTAAACTCCACAATGAAGAGCTCATCAGAGAGTATACACAAATACACGACCAGGCGCGCTTCAGCTACCTGGACGACTGCTTTAAAGGAGCTGCCATTTAACAAACCGTATGTATGCTGAGATCATGTTCAAGATGAGAAGTAGTGAGTAACTTTTCTGGTGGAGGAGGATACACCAGCTGCTTGCCTCTATGATTATGTTAATGCTTTGCCAAGAATGTTCCGCAGTATAGCATTAAGCATATCAACCGCCAGACCAAGTTACAGTACGTTTGATCTCTGGACAGGTATAAATATAATGAAAAAGATCAGTTTAATGTCATACTTTGAAATATTCCAGGCAAAGCATTAACATCTCCATGGAGACAAACAGGTGGCTGACCACTTACCAGAAAAGTTACGCGGTGCACCTTTAATTTCTATAAAATCTACAGTATATCTAGAATAATATCTAACCTTTGCTGTTATAAGAATGTATTTTATTACACATTTGGTCAAGAGCTGAACATAAAATAAAAGTTTGACAAAGAAGTATATGATTAATGTATCTGCATTAGCACAAGTTTACATATATTTCAACAAATGATTCACAATCACTGCATACAGAAAAGTATCATAAATCAGAAAATACATTCTACAAATGGCATATAGTGACTTCAGTAATGAGTAATAAATAAATATAGTTTATTCAGTTCATCCATGTTAAATGTTCTGTTCTAGTGCCATATGAAATTTGGCACAGGCTGTGTTCACATCTGCAAACAAATGAACACAAATGAGCTCCAAACACCGCATAGTCATCAACAGAGTCTGTGTTTGTCTGTGTTTTTCAGTGCTGCTGGTTATTAAAGAAGGAGCCCTGCTGTCTGATACGAGAGAAGATGTCCTGGAGCCAGGGGGAATCTTCATAGAGCCGTGGGTCTCCCAGACACTCCGCCGTGCGCTTGTAGAAATAGTAGTAGAGCACTGAAGCTGGGGACAAACACATGCACTTCATCACTTATACAATTACTATTCAAACTCATTAGCATTATTAAAATACCTGCTCTACTTTGCAAAATGTCTTCTATGCTTCCTCAATTATCTATTATGGTTTTCTCTATTGACTACTTGGTTTGACATGTTGAACTTGATCATTAAAGGTGCACTGTAATTTTTCTGGTTGAGGGTCCGCCATCTGCTTGTCTTGAATATCCCACAGTATGGCATTAAACTTCTCTTTATTGAGACAAGCAGGGGACCTCACCAGGCTAAGTTACAGGTCAGATCTGGGTAGGGGTGACCCTGCTTACAGTAAGAATATTTTTAAGGTATTTCTTAATAACAGGAATAACAACAACTACTGAATTAACAAGACAGCTAAGTTTAGTGCTATACTCTGGAACACTGAAGGCAAAACAATAACATCTCATTGGAGACAAGCAGGTGGCAAACCCTCCAACAGAAAAGATACACAGTGCACTGTCAATATAAGTGGCAAGGTTTATATTAAAATGAATTCAGCTAAATAACATTGATAACTGCTGACGTGCCTCCCATTTCTATTAGAATAATAGGTCTGGAGCTGTGATGTCATCTGAATATGCACCGTGCGATGCTATAGAGTCTTCAAGTGATTCAGTGGACTGAACAAACAGAATGATTTAAACTACTATATTTGCAGAATCTCTAATTAAGTACAAGCCATTTGGATAAACAAGCCAAAATAGTTGTGTTATCACTTTATGCAGCATATAAAAGTATTGAATTACCACTTCCATAATAACTTTTTAGACAAATATCTAAAGCAGGGGTTTCCAACATTTTTCCTCTGGTGAGCTACCTTTACAAAACAAAAATGCCGGAGAGCTACTCATTTTAGCGGCCGCAAGAAACTGAGACGATTATAAGAAAGAGGGCGAGCCTTGGGGTACTGGCCTGATTCATGAGCCAGTTTCACTTCGTGGAAACTGGCTGATCTTCGCAGCGTTGGAATTCGTTTGCTCGACGGTAGGTGGGTACTACAATCGCTGCTGTTTAGTTGTGGCGTATGTAATGCGCCGCTAACGGGGTTAACTGGTATATTAAGTTTTTCCCAAATCCCATAGGAAGAAGAGCAATAACGTCTTTCCCCTTGATAAAATTCACCAAACATTCTCTTTGTTCCGGCTTTAAATCCTCGATCTCGGGAATTGTTGCCAACACAGAATATATGGCTCTTCACTGATTGGCTGGTGCCGGGACTCACACTTCTGGTAATTCTTGCAAGCTGTCTAGTGTATTCTGATTCCTGACCTAGTCGCTGGAGAAAAATAAAACTGAGATACATTTGATGCCTATAAAACCTAAACTGCTGTCCATTTATTAGTGCATAAAGTTGGGCCTCAAAATTATACATATAAAATGGTAATAGGCATGTAACTGAACAACAAAAATTTGGTTAATACTGAAATCCCTTGGTGAGCTACTTAGAAGGGGGTAAAGAGCTTCTGGTAGCTCCGGAGCTACAGGTTGGAGACCCCTGAGCTAAGGATTAATAACACGATTAATGTAGTAAATGTGCACAATGTAACATTTTTGGAGTTGGTTGAGCTCGACAGAAACAAGTCAGATCTGTTGAGAGTCAAGCCCCTTTACAGTAAGAATGAATGCAAATTTAATGAAATAGTGTTGAACATTCCAGGCATCTCTGTAGGCACAAGCCGGTGACAGATCCTGCTCTAGAAAAGCAAAACTCAAATCTTTTATCCTCAGTATACAAGATGGAGTATGGAGCATTTCAAGGTTTGCACAAAAACAGCAGTCAAACAAATGATATGTTCCAGTCTCAGTGGAGCTTTAAAATAAAGTTTAGAATAAAGTGAATGGTATGGTTTCTATCTTATGGGTGGGTCTAAGTGCTGGGTAAACAACAGCAGACATAACATAAACAGTACATGTCTACATGTTAAACACTGGATCACCTGCTGTGGGCAATACTAGAGCATAAATCCTCTCATCTGCTTATGAGCTTATGAACGTGAATGAATTACACCCACACAGAGGAGACTGCATTAGGACCACACAGAAATGATTGACAGGGTACAATGCTATTAGTTTTATAGAACATTTAAGAATGAATTATAATACAAATGTTTCCTTCTACTGCATTAAATGAATCTACTTTGTCATTAGCACTGAATTATAAAATCGTGTGATGTGAAAATGTCAGATGGAAAGTGGGCTAATATTACTCTATGAGCAGTGGCATTAGTTAAAATCCAATCCAAAAGTAGATGATTCTCTTGCCATATTGTTCTGTGGCTTAAGGCTTTTATTGTTGCTGTAGGGAAATGTGTCCTGGTGTAGTGGGCACCACAGGGTAGCGCCTAAAGGCTACCAGGGTTTTACTGTCTAAAAACTAGTGTGTCTGTGTTTCCTAATGTGTACACTGTGTCAGCATGTAAAAGTGTTCATTAGCAGTGACTTAACAGTCTTTATATTTTTTTGCTAATCTCTATGGACAGGTTACCTTAAATATGGCTTTTCCCCAATGTCCAGGTTGTTTTTAATAGTTTACCAAGCTTTTGACACTGTAAGGACAACTTGAGGATGGAAATGCAAATTACCTGTCCTGTGAAGCATAAACAGCACTTGCAGTCCGTCCGTCCAAATATATGTGTTAGTGTTAAACCAGCGCAGATTCTGGAGACAGGACACAGTTTAGAGGATATCACAGATCAGTTGGACATGTGTAGTGTAGTGTTAGCCTGTACCATGAGCCAGCAGTGCAGCGTGATACTGAAGATCAGGTAGAGCATAGAGAACATGAGCAGAGCCCGGAAACGCTCCAGTAACACAGACACCAGCCCCACTTGGAACACATACGTGTTGAACAGCATCAGCAGGATAATGATGAGGTTCAGCAGGATGGAGATGTCCTGAACACTGTGAGGCCAGAAAAGGGGAAAATGTGTGAGAAAATGTCTGTTTTCACCTACCTCCTATCCCTGCCCACTGCTCTCCATTTACTTGTGATTATTCTAAAACCTCCACAGGAAGTCAATGAACCATTTCGTTTATTAAGTTGTTTTAGATCAATACTGCTCTTTCCAATAAATATTTGTTTATGTTGTAGTTTAATACTAAATACCTAAAAAACATACAAAATATATCCAAGTACTGAGTAAGTAAATGTTGGAATGTAACTTCTGATTTATATTCAGCTCCTGGTATTTCTAAACTCTTAACAATAGTATATTAACTAATACATAAAAAAAAAATAATAATAAATATCACTGTACACTTGTAGTGAGGAGAGTCATTCAGGTGGGACTAAAAACCTGAACTCCTCCCATAATCACATTTCAAATAGAAAAATAGAAGAGCGAGGACTCAAACTCCACCACTGCAGATAGGTGTATGTAATATGTAACCAGGACAGTCCTGTGTGATGTTACATAGTATTTAAAACTGCAGTGGACAATGGAGCCAGCACACTCAGTTTTAGACCAAAAATTTATTTATTTATTTGCACTAAAATTGTCAAAAAGGACTCGGAACAGTAAATAATGTAATTAAAATGCCACTAATGCCATTAAGTAGCCAAAAATAAAAATTCAGCAAACTGATGTAGTATTTAGTTGCACTTAAATTGTATTGATGTTAAAATGATATGACAAATGTGATGACATTATGGCTGACATCAGTCCAGAAGGGTTGTGCTACAGCTGACTAAACATATATTTGGTGTGACATGGTGTTGGTGCTCACATAAAGAGCATGAGCTGGTTGGCTGGCTCGTAGCGGATCAGTTCACTGCAGGAGTTGACAAACAGGTCGAAGCAGAGAAGGCTCATCTGGATGCCCAGCACCACACAGTAGTTAGTGGTCTGGAGTCTCTCGGGCCCATAGCCTGGTGGGAGCCCGGGCTGGTGCTGAGCCCACTGAGAATCCACTGCTGCGCCGCTCCCTCACACACACACCATGGAAACATGAACCCTCTGCAGTACACTCCAGCACTCCTGTACACAGAGAGCACAGTGTGACAGGCGTCAGCAGAAGAGACTAAAACACACAGAATTCACAAAGCAGGTCATCGGCCGATAGCCGATATAATCACCAATATATTTAGTGATGTAAAAATTCAGTGTAAATCTTGATTTGTTTAAAAAGCTTAGGTTTGGCTCTGGTGGATTTTAAATTGGGTTTATTTAGGCAACATTTATTGTTTTTCTGACTCTTTGTGTCATATTTACAGACAGTAGGTCGACCTAATGGCATTTTTGCATCACATTCTAGCTACTAGTGATGGGTATTCCAGTTCTTTTAGAGAACTGGCTCTTTTGGCTCGGCTCACTAAAGCAGCTGGCTCTTTCGGGTCCCAAGCGGCTCTTCAGATTGTTTTGTTGCAAGCAGGACTAAAGCAGGACTAAAGCAGGACTAAACCAGGACTGAACCAGGTCTAAAGCAGGTCTAAAGCAGGACCAAAGCAAGACCAAAGCAGGACTAAACCAGAACTGAACCAGGACTGAGTGGGACTCGGTCTCTATCTCTCTCCCTCTCTTGAGCCCAAGATTAGTCCTGGTTTATTGAAGTGAAGAGAAAAAAAGTGAGAGAAAGAGAAAACACAGCTCCCAATAAGGAACAGGCTCCCGTCGTTCGCTTCAAAGAGCCGACTCTAACAGTAGCCAACTACTAGCTAGTAAAGAAAGTAACTACGGCTATTAGACTTTAGCCGTAAATGCTGCGTGCAGTAATGCAGTAATTAATTATATGCATAAATGTCATAATTCACACCTCTAGTCACAGCTCATTTACATATCAATGCAGGTCCAGTAACATGTATACAGCCAATATAGTCACTTTACAATAGACCAATAGAAAACAGACTGTTTATGTGTGAGAGCTACAGCAGCTAATCGCTAACCAATAACAAATAACCAATACCAATACCAAATCGACATATTTCCAACACTCAGCGCTCACACAGACTCCTCCTCACATCAC